ACACAGTCAGCAGCAGAGCAGCAGCAGAGCAGCAGCAGATTAGCCGATTGTTTACATTTGCCGTCTCCAAGCCTAACTCTCTCTACCAGAATTAACGTTTTCACTCTCTCTTTTTCTGATCGCTCACGCTGCCCTGTTGTCACCTCTTTTCTCTCTCTTCAGCAGCAGCTATACACCGTACAGCTTTTCAGTTGCAGCTGCTGTACAGTTCAAACTGAAAGCCGAAGAAAAACGTTTTTCTACCGTTTAGGCATCAGCACGGCCATCTGCTGGTGAAGAATGAAAACAGTTCTTCTGACCAGCCAGGTCAGTTTGTGTTGTCGTCTGCTGAAGAAGCAGCATCAGCAGCAGCGACCGTCGCTGTCGCCGGTCTCTCTCTCTCCTGCCGTTTTCAACGTCATCAAAGTTGGTGGTGGTGAAGTGTGATAATTAGCAGGGCAGGAGAGAAGGAGAGAACTTTAGGGATGGACTTCATCGTTGCTGCTGCTGCTGCTGCTGTTGCCCCTGGTAACCGAAAACGAAGATAACAGCTGAGCGTGGATGGATGGATGGTAAATGTCTCCCCTCGCTCGCTCTCTTTCTTTGTATTTGTACCTAATCATCACAGATTGCTGCTGCTGTTGCTGTTATCAGCATCACCTCCTCGAATCGTCGTAAAACGTCTGCCCCAATAAGAACAGTGTCCTTTGCACGTAAGTGGTTGCCCTTCTCTCTCCAGTGTTGGGTTTTTGGAGTGCTTTTCTATTTTTTTTGCCCCTCCAGCTAATCGATATCTTCCTTTTGTCTGTAGTTTCTACTTTCTATTTATTAGATATCGGCGATATTTGGTCACTGCTGTCTCTCTCTCTCCCCGGAGATATCACTTCTTCTGATTTGAATTGTGAAGAGCGCCAAATCTACAAAGAGAAAAGAGGGCCACAGTCTTTGCCTGATCACCTCTTTCACCCTTGCATCATCATCACCATCCTCTGAAGTGGAGTTCTGATCACCATCATCACCATCACCACCAACAGATCAATCACTCAATGACCAACATGCAGCACCGCCTGCTGAGCGCCGTGTACGTGGCCAGCCAGGTGGTGAAGGGCTTCGGCCGCGGCTCCAAGGAGCTCGGCTGCCCGACGGCCAACCTCGAGGAGGACGTCGTCCAGGGGCTGCTGACCACCCTCGACGACGGCATCTACTACGGCTTCGCACAGCTCCTCCACCCGCTTGGCTCGGAGCTTGAAAAGGCTCAAGCAGAGCTGGCGAGCCGCCTCAAACAGCAGCAGCAACAACAACAACAACAAAACGGCGAGAAATCGAACGATCCTGCCCGAAACATCGTCCTCCTCGAGCCCTGCCCGGCCAACCCGGTCTACCCGATGGTGTGCAGCCTCGGCTGGAACCCCCAGTACAACAACCAGTCGCGGACGATGGAGGTGCACCTCCTCCACGACTTTGGCTACGACTTCTACGGGAGCCTGATTCGGGTGGCCGTCTGCGGCTACATCCGCCCGGAGAGGAAGTTCGACAGTGTCCAGGCGCTGAAGGAGACCATCCAGGCGGACATTGACTTTGCGAGGGCGGCCACGGAGCGCCCCAAGGAGTGCTGGGCCCACGTCACCGGCGACCGCTTCTTTCAGCTGTAAGAGATGTTGCTGCTGCTGCTGCTGAGGCTTTTATAACTTAATCTGCTCCGAAGATCTTCTGCCTTATTTACTTCTTCTTCTTCTTAACCATCACCCTCTTCTTCTTCTTCTTCTTCTTCATCCTTAGTCAATCTTTTTATTATTATCAGTTTTACCGCTGTTGTTGATGATGATGTTCTATTTATTCAACGACTAATTCCTGTTCTTTTTTCTTCTCCTTTATAGCCGAGTCCAAGTGCAATTACAGTACAAGTGGTTATTCCAACACCGAATTCGAATTTTCATTTACGAAAGCGATCATTGCGTCAATGTCAATGCGTGGGTGCTTTGATTCTGCCCGCATCCTCTCTTTTTCTTGGATTCTGTGGGGGGAATTCCCTGAATTTACCCAGTCAATACAGTCAGGCACTCTGCAAATTGTTTGGGAATTTTCCCGGCCATTCTCCTCGGGTGATGATGGACTGGTTTCCCTTCTGTTCACGCAAAAGGTCGGGAAAAACCCAAACACTGTGCAAACATACACAGTTTGCTCAGCGATTGCTCAAGCAGAAGTGACTGGACGCACTATATAGCGTTTCACGATCATGTGGTGGTGGTGGCGGTAATCAATTCGACCAGTTCCCAGCTCATTATTAAATTACCGCGAGTTCAAAGAGTTGGCCCCAGGCGGCAAAGCCGGGCTGAAAACAAGAAGAATAATCATCACCTCTCTGTTCAACCCACAACTACCTGATTTGAAGATCATCATCGTTAGAAGCTGAAGAAGAAGAAAAGAAAAGNCCGCGAGTTCAAAGAGTTGGCCCCAGGCGGCAAAGCCGGGCTGAAAACAACAACAAGAATCAACATCACCTCGCTGTTCAACCCACAACTACCTGATTTGAAGATCATCATCGTTAGGAGCTGAAGAAGAAAAAGAAGAAAATCGCTCTTCCGTCTTGTTTTCCCGTCCGTGTTGTGGTGGTGGACTTGCCCGAAGAGACGTCTTCGGGTGTGCGTGTGGGAGGGAGAGGTAGTGGCACTGCCAACACACACCCAGGACAAGGAGGATGCTGGCATCGCCTGCGCGCATTGGAGGGCGCCGCTGCCCCGACACGCTGCTCAGCGTCCGCTTTGCCTCTCCCTCCCTCTGTGGTCAGTGACCACTACCATCGCCGCTACCACCAGCTCTCTCATTCACTCACTGACTGCCTCTCCGAGAGGAGGATTGTGTGGTCTGTCACTGCGCTCAGTGCTGCACACTGTGTGTATCTGCCACTGCATCGTCAGCGTCCGAATCGTGTTTTTTTTCGGGCACAGTGCACTGTGAGAGTAGGAGAGAACTGGACAGCAGCAGCGCCTGCACCAGCAAATCGAACCCGTACCATCACCATCATCATCGCCACACACTGACCTTTCCGAACAGCTGCTTCAGCTGATCTTCGGTGTTTTAGAAACGATTATCTTCTCAACTTTCATCATCACCTCCTCCTTCTCACCTATGAGGTATGTGTAGCAGGACTGTTTGGCAGCCGCATCTAACTGCATCAGCAGCAGCAGCAGCAAAAGTTGCAGCGCTTGCAATCTTTCACCGCTGATCACATCCCTGTCACTTCACTGACTGAGTCACCATCGCAATCTCTCTCTTTTTCTCACTCACTCATTCACCTCTTTTCTCTACTCCTTTTTTTAGATAAGTNTCCCTGTCACTTCACTGACTGAGTCACCATCGCAATCTCTCTCTTTTTCTCACTCACTCATTCACCTCTTTTCTCTACTCCTTTTTTAGATAAGTCACCACCACCACCACATGCACACTTTCAAGTGCTTCGAGCAGAAGACAGCAACAGCAACGGCAGAAAACTGAAGAACAGCAGGCACTGTCACCAAAACAGCTGCTGCTGTTGCGGTTGAGCTGCTGCTGGGCTCCACCTTTGTTTTGTTTCGCTGGCTGGCTGAGGTTTTGGTCACATCGCTTTTGTTTTTGTGCTTTTCCCTTTGATCATCACCAGCAGCAGCAACTATCATAACCACCATCATGAGCTACAATACCAAATGCTTAAATGCGAACAACTCCTCCACGGCCAACGCCACCAGCACCGCCTTTGACGTTTCGGAGGCGTCAATTTACGGAGGTGCTGGCGGCGTCGACGAGAAGCCACCTGCGCCGCCCGTCCGCCTCGCCTCGGCCCGTGCGGAGGCCAACAA